TTACACACTTTTGTACAGCAGTAGTTTTTTAAGAAGGTTGACGCACAAAGAGCACTGACATGCACATCTCTTAAGCTCATAACGTCTTCAAAGGAATTAATGTGATCAAATATATATATAAATATATATATATATATATTTATTTTCTTTATAAGACAATGGGGAACCAGTATTAGGTTAATTATGTCACAAAACAATTATTGTATTTTTATTATTTTTATTATAAATTTAGTCAGAGAATAAATTCGAAGACTAAGGTCTTAAACCGATAGCATCTAAGGCTTTCGGCTTTATTAAAAACTCTACCACACTTGAGATTTGAACCCACGACCATTGAGTTGCTAGTCGAGACTCTTGCCTATTCGGCCACTCAGGCGAATGTGTTAAGTAAAGGCATCTAATAGGCAGAGAAATGCATTTAATTATGTGCCCTTAAGTGCTTTTAAATCAGAATTTTATTATTAATCAAATTACAATTATTTTTGGTTATATTCGAAAAGAGTGAATGGGGATGACTGGTCCTTTCAACTCGTTTGAAAAAGCCAAAGGTACTACGTTTTTTCTAGGAAGAATTTTCGACAGATGTTATAGTCAATATATATATATATATATATATATATATGTAGGTTAGGTAAAAGTCATTTAAGATAGTTAGGTTAAAAGCCAATACTTGCTTGCTACAAAAACGTACTCGTAATTAATTGCAAATAAACTTAGAAAACCTTCTTAGGGAGCAGTGTGAGAGAGATTGTAAAAAAAATTCTTACATAAAAGAAATTATTAAACACAATCATTATACAAGGGGAGATTTTGCAATCGATTAAACCGCTTAAAGTGCTCGATCTAATCGATTTTCGACAATGTTCATCTTAAGACCCAAGCGTGTCAATATGAAAAATTTATTCATAAATTTCTCATAAAGAACAAAGACATGGGACTGGCAGAGGGGGCCGATTAACAGACCAGGTTAAATCAGAATCAAGCTTTCAGGACAACAACCTACATCAAGAGTACGCAATTATCATGTTACAATCAATGCAATCAATACCATACACTTCGTATTTCGTCCGATTCTTTTGAACATTAATGATTTTCAATCTCTCACACTTTTAATCGATGTACTTCGCTAGACTAAGAGAGCTAAGACGACGATTTCCAGTTCTCTTTTTATTTACTCTTATTTTTGCACGCATTAATTTTTATAGTTTAAGATCTCTTCGTAATTGTAAATTGTGATTAACTCTTTACTTTTAAGGTTATGTAATTTGTAAATTGTTGTTAAAAGAAGTGTAATTGAAGAAATGAAAAAAATGAAAAAAATCAAAAACATTTTCATATAAATTCTTATTCATAAGTAGCAGTATCCAGCTTAATTTGTTATTTATTGTATTACAAAACGCTTCAAGGTCGCTTCACATAAACAAAGAAAAAAAAAAAAAAATGATCAGAAATAAAAAACAAGAATTTTAATTAGTTTTCATCAAGTTGCCTATGCCTTCTTACAATTAATAGAGGATCGGATACACAACTAACAACTTCCCAATATATTTCTCTATATTAAGAAACTTTCGAAATGCAGTTAGCTAAGCTCAGCTTACGAAGAGAAAACCAGTAACAGTAGCTGTGAAAAGTCCGAACGCTGTCAATTTTCGCGAACGCATGAAACTGGACGTTCTTAGAGATCGTTTAAAAATCAAAGCATTTTTACCGGCAGGCTCGACAATCTTCTCATGTATCAAATTGATCCGGGTTTTTGGTTTTTTTATTTCTTTTCAATTTGTATAAAACGTTGATAGTTCGAAGTTATTTTCAATTTATTTAATAAAAAGAAGATACTAAGGGAAAGTTATATGGATTTTGGTAAAACTATTTCTGCGTTTACGCTCGTTTTACACGAAATCGGTATACGTTTCCTGGCCAAAGGATAATGAACCGACATCCTGATGTAAAACACAAAAGTTATCCCAACGGGATTATTTTTTGCAATCATTCTTTCTGCTTTCTTATCGATATGTCTTGATATGCCAGAATATGCTGGCGTCTGTCGTCTTCATCAAAGCGCCCCCTTGCAAACAATTATCGTTCGTGTAAGCATTTATCTCATGCATGTAGAGGAATTCCTTTAATTACCTTTCTATAATTTACGATGCTCTACTGCACTTTATTCTAAAGTAAAGTTTAAAGTCAAGACTTTGACCCATATTTTTACCGCTAAAATACACTAATCATCAATAATCTAAGAATCCAGCCCAACTAGTGAGGGGAATCGAGATTATTACTCTACGGCAATTGAATGAAATTGGACATTCATTGTTCTTTTCATCTTCTTTTTTTTTTTTTTTTGGTTAACTTTTGTATTTCCGGTGCATACTTCTAGGATTTATAAGGGCAATCAAAAAATTAACATAACATGAGGCATATATATCATCGATGATGACTGTGAACAAATATATAAGTTTAAAACACATATAAGGCCCCAATGCTATAATCGTATGATTTTTATTGATTTCAGACGATGGTCAATCATGGACGCGTTGAATTGCTGGCACATCCATTAAGTCAAAAATATTTGCAAATGAAATGGAACTCATATGGAAAATATTTTCATTTAGCGAACCTTTTAGTTTATTCCATATTCTTGCTTTTCGTTACCATTTATTCGTCGTTAATGATGAATGGCATTAAAATTAAAAATCGTGTCTTTGTTGCAAATCTTAATGTGATACGTAATCGGTAAGTTCATCTATCATTAGGAATTTTATCGAATCATTTCAATTTCAATGCATATTCTGCTTATCTCGATCAGTTCCGATCTAATCGATTGCTCATCATTAATCGGTTCACTGCAATTGCGCAATAATTCAATATCACATGATGATTGTTATGAGAGCATAAGTCAATCGCCAACAATACGTGTATGCGCCGGTACCATAATTGTTTATATAGCATTGAGTTCGTTACGCGAACTGATTCAAATCTATCAGCAGCGTTTGCATTATATTTTGGAAATTGTTAACTTGATATCATGGATTTTATACATATCAACCTTGATAATGGTTGCACCAGTTTGTAAAACAGACGGAGCTATAACAAATGTTCACTATTCGGCCGCCTCTATATCGGTATTTTTATCATGGTTTCGTTTACTATTATTCTTGCAACGTTTCGATCAAGTAAGTCAGAAATTCGCAAGAGCTTTCATCTCAACTCAAACTAAATATCATTATATTTGCTCTTTTCTTATTTATTCTCTATTTATGCTCTTCTTGTTGCACTTTAAAGGTTGGCATTTATGTGGTCATGTTTCTCGAGATTTTAAAAACGCTTATTAAAGTATTATTGGTTTTCTCGATACTAATTATAGCGTTCGGTTTGGCTTTTTATATACTATTGTCGAAGGTAAACGAAGATGAATGACGCGATAGAATTAAAATTGAGTGATTGAACGTTTTATCAAACGATTTCATATATTCATTTTTCCAGATTATCGATCCGCAACCAAATCATTTAAGTTTCTCTAATATACCGATGTCATTGTTGCGTACCTTCTCAATGATGTTAGGTGAATTGGATTTTGTAGGCACCTACGTCAATACCTATTATCGTGACCAATTGAAAGTTCCTGTAACATCATTCTTAATATTAAGTAAGTACTCGTGATCTAAAGCCCATTCATACCCATCTCTACGCGTAGCAATAGCAAGAGCAAGTTAAAGTTAATTTTAAAAATTTTTAGGTATTTTTATGATATTGATGCCGATACTTTTAATGAATCTACTTATTGGTCTGGCTGTCGGTGATATAGAATCCGTAAGACGTAATGCTCAACTAAAAAGATTGGCAATGCAGGTATACTTTGCTCATTATCACCATTCATTTATATATTTAGCGATTTGTAATAATATAATATTATCTTGCAACATAATGCGGCCGTTATCGTTATCGCAAATCACTGAAGGCGTAATTACTATAATTGAATAAAATTTTCAATTAATTAATCGCTCGCATATTTATCATTTTTTGCAATTTTTAATAATAACCAGGTGGGAAATCTCGCATGATGACGACTCTTGAATACTCCCTACTACCTCCCTATCTTCTAATAAAAAAAACGGCGCATTGTTCTTTCAACTTGTAACCATGTTAATTGATCGATTGGGATCATTTTCATATTAAGTTTAAGTTTAAGCTTCCGATTATCACATAGCATGACTTTGAATTGCATCGCACCGTCGAAGAATGAAGATTCTTTAGATTAGTTCCCTCGATTACATATAAATTCTTAATCGGTTTAAAATTAATGTGGGCATGTCCTACTATCTTTTTCCTGATCCCAATCGCGGCATCGCTATAGACCTGACCTGAAATTTATTGGGAACTCATTCATTTCTTTCTCTTCCTCCATGCAGGCACTATCATGCCTGCGGAAGTCTGCATCGCAGAAAAATGGTACGAAAAATGTAGAGTTGAAAAGGCGAGAGCATGGCTTTTCGCTCATTGCAAAACGTATGATGATAGCCCGGGGAGAAATAAGTGCCACGAGTGTCTTGAGTAGGCGACAATGTTTGAACTCTCGGCCCGACTTTTGATAGCAACTTTTTTGAAACTTTTAAAATCTGAAGCACGCTAATCCGCGTGCTCACGGAGGAAGGAGTACGTTTTCACCTTCACCGTTCGTGTGTGCGCCACTACTCACTCGCTTTACGTTCTCGGACATTTTGCTTTGAGAACCGCTAAATTGTAGTCAAACTCGTCATATGACTGGGCCTAATCTCTAGTATCATCCAGCATCTTATAACTCTTCTAAACTGGTACTTTCTCTATTATCCTAAAATGTCCTGAATTTCGTTGAATCTCACGGCAAAACTTGTGGATAGAAAGCCAGGCTAAGTTTCACAATTCTCTGCTATCGAAAGAAGTGAGGCCTTCTAACCCGTTCACTATTATGTTTTTCTCGTTTTATAATTTTTGCTGGAACGACGCTAATGTGTAATCCTTAAAACCGCTGTAATTATGAAGTCTAACTTTACAACGAAACAAATATAATAATGCACCGGAAATAACTAAAGTCGATAACATAACCCGTCACAAAAGATAACGTCAACCCCAATAGCTAATTAGCCTAACAAAAAAAAAAAAAAAAAAAAAAATAGGTAAATAAATAAAATTTATTGAACTTTCGAACTTTCAGGTCGTCCTGCATACGGAACTGGAGCGTAAACTTCCTCAGATGTGGTTGCAGAAAATTGATAAAATGGAATTAATTGAATATCCGAACGAGACAAAAAGTAAAATGGGTTTCTTTGATTTTATATTAAGAAAATGGTTTTCAAATCCCTTTACCGAAGATAGTAAGTAAGGAGAACGGATGGAATCAAAAGATAAATGACAATTTTCTTGTTTTTTTGTTTTTTGTTTTTTTTTTTTTTTTTTTTTTTGCTTTTATATCCATCACCGAAACATGAGGGATGTATTCATTTTATTTGATTATTTATTTGCAAAGCCAAGAAGAAAGCATCATAGTGTATATGTTCTTGATCACCATCAAATTCTGAATAGATTTAAGCATGTCCGTTTGTATGTATGTCTGTCTGTCTGTCTGTCTGTCTGTCTGCGTAAGTTCTGTTGTAAAGATTCTTCGGGCCGCAAAAATGAAACTATCGACTTCAAATTTGGCAGAAACATTGAAAGTTCTTGCATACAGGCTGGGCTCAATCAGTCCAATGGCACGCCTATTGTACTACATAAAGTGAGAACACCGCTGTTTTTGCAAAGGATTAAAAAATTGATTTTTTCGAAATTGTTGATTCTAGTGGCGATACTGTAGCATTTGTGCACAAAAATGGAATAAATTGATCATGCCTATCCAGTACTATAGGGTGCAAACATTCTTCTTTTTTTTTTTCAATATCATTACAAGTCGCCGAAACACGCTTTAAAAACTCCACAAAATAGATAAATTCTTGGGCAAATTTCATATTTGAAATGCACCTAAACATGTTCGCCTTTTTGTCTGTCCATTTGTCTGCCTGCGCAACTGCGTAATATTTATGGTAGACATTCTCACGTTAGCGAAAATGACGATGTCGCCTACAAATTTGCAAAAGAATTGCAAAGTGATTTAAACTTTTACGAGGACACGCCTACAACGCCCACACGTCCGTATGACCGTATGACGAGAATTTTAATTTTAAAAATAGAAAAAATCAGACGCCAGCCACTCCGTATTATGGAGCATAAAAATTTAGCATTTTTACCTATTTTTTGCCTTTTTTAGTGTAACGGTGATGGGTATCAAAGATTCGGTCACGATCGAATATAATTTCCTTACTTGTATTATTTTCTTGCCTCTTTTGTCTTTCAAGCCTCACTGGATGCGATGCCATTTGAAAATAATGATGATTACATTAATAGCGAATTAGAGAAACAAAAACGTAAGCTTCGCGATATCGGGCGTACTTTAGAGCAACAGCATCAACTTTTACGTTTAATTGTTCAAAAGATGGAAATTAAAACGGAAGCTGATGATGTTGACGAAGGTGTTTCGCCAAATGATTTACGTGGCACTGGCAGCAATTCGGGTAATTCGTCAAGCTCGCGTTGGACTTCGCCTCGTATACGCAACAAATTGCGTGCAGCATTAAGCTTTAATAAAAGCATATAGGAGTTAAGGCAAAGACTGAATTCTCCCAATATACAATGGGAAAATGTCTGATTTATACGAATATGAGTAGAGCGAATATGACGGCGGCTGCAACAACATACCACTCAGCTTGCAATAAGGTGAAGTGAACGAACAATATTTTCATATACGCGCAAGCAACTAAAACGTATTTATTATTCATTCATTTTATCTTCTAAATCATTCAAATTTATATGAAAACTATATATGTATATATATATATATATATATATATATATATATATATATATATATATCATTATTAGCTATGTGTATGTGCGAAGTGTATTGAAATGTAAAATTTAATCATTTCAAAGCATAGATTCAATTAATTTAGTTGATAAGAAGTTAATATAAAATCGTTCGGTTTGCGCTGAAGCGCGAATGCGATATCGCTTTAAATGTTTGCAAGCATTTCATAAAATAAATTTCGTGTATTTGTTTGTTGTCTACTAATTGAGAAACGTGAACGAACGTTCTTTATAAAATCCTACGAGTTATTACTTAAAAAAAAAAAAAACAAATTACTAAACTACCCTAAGCACCTATTAATTCATTTGCTTGGAATATCTTAAGCGAAATATTTCAATTTTCGCATAGAAGCGTAGAAGCTTTGAAACACTACAAGCTTTTTGCTTATTAGAATTTGTTTAAGTAAAACGACTAAGAAAATTATATTCGCCTTGGGGCGGCTGCTTAATACCCGTCACCAATACATCAAAACTATAATATTAATAAAATGCTTTATTAGTTATTTTCGTATCAGTTGCGCTATCGGAACTTTTGTCCCTTTTTGCGCTTGCCTCATGAATAGACGTAAGAAATACGTGTAATAGGTTTTAAGTTAAAGTAGTTTTCTTATAAGGCACACATTTTTATAAGTGTGTAAAGCCATTTATTGCATCGATACTTTAAATGGGCTCAGTAAATATTCAAGTTTAAATTTTCAATTAATATCTGTATGTATGGATTTTTTTTTTTTTGTTATTATGGGCGTTGTATTATTTCACAATCATCACTTAAGAGTGTATATGCTTTAAAATCCACCACAGCCTATATATATATATATATAAGCAGATAGGGTATACAGGAATGCGGACGAGATCAGATTGATTAAAACCAAAATGTGCTTGCAATACAAACTTGATTTGAACTTTCGCTTTCTGGCCAAAATTATGAGGCGACGCAATGCATCAACACATATGACTCAAACAGAATCTTATGATGATTAAATTTATAAAAGTATTATATCGAGCTTTTTTTTTAAAGTAATTAGTTCGATGATGGTTATAAACATTTTTCACAAAAATAAAGCGTCTTAACATCATATTTTACACGGTAAAAATAAATATGTAAATATATATATATATATATATGTATATATATGCATTTTATTATTTATTTATCTATTTATTACACCGTACACTACTTATGATACACGGGTATATTACAAGGATATATAAACGAATGTATACAATACGCAGAAGGAGTTGGAATAAATCTTCTTCTTTGATTATACCGATCAATTCAGAATCTCTTTTCGAACTGAGCTAAGATTGTCTGCATGTCTTAGATTCAATCCATAGCTCACAATTTCTAATGTATTTCAATGAACTTTAATATGCCGACTCCAAAACGAATGCTACTGAAAATGATTTAGACCGGACCAGTTTTTCAACCACCTCCTATGTAACGCCTTATTTTGAAAAATCGTTACCTCAATAGATCAATTAAGCGAAGTGGTGTAGGCTGTTTAATAGTGGGCCGTGGTCCATTACAGCTATAGTTTCACACGTCCTTATTTATGTTATACAGTAAAAGTTCCTTATTCGCGGGGGATACGTGCCGCGAATACAGAAACCGCAAATACGGAATTTGGGTTGGATACCTATTAGAGTCCGCAAATAAAGAAATTTATAGCCGCGAATAGAGGAATTGTATCGCATTTTTTTAACCCGCGAATAAGGAACTTTTACTGTATATATATATATATATATATAGAAAAGTTTGCCTTTGATAAGTTTGAAAGCAAAATTTGATATCGAGCAACATTGACTTTATTAGATGGAAAATTAAACAAATAACACACCTATATATATATATACATATATATATATGAAATATATATTTTTCATAACATTTTACAAACAGGTTCCTTTTTTTAGAAAAAGAAAAACAAAAAAAAAAAAAAACAGAAAGCAAAATTTTTTTTTTGTACATGTAAGTGTGAATGTTTCGACGTGAAAAAATTACACAAACCAATTAATTCATATAAATTAATTATTATTTAAGACAACAAGAGAATATAAAATTAAATGTCAACAAATTTATGAAAGAAGCAAAATATCAAACAACTATTTCTGTATACGTTCCTTTACTTGTAATGCATTTGCAATTAATTTGAAATAAAATAAAGAATTTAAATATATATTGCTTTGAAAAACCGAAATAAACTGAATTTCAATAATTTTTTTTTAAATGATATACAAAAAGTATTTATCTTGCTATTTATTATAGCAATAATTTCAATAAGTCGTTTACACAACCGCAAGAACGATAGTCTTGTTAGTTAACTATTAGTATTAATCTATCACTCATCAATTTCAGCTAAAAATTTTAATAACAAAATTTTACTCAAACAATATTACATTCGTATCCGGCATTAGGTTTATTATCAAAAAAAAAAAAAAAAAAAAAAAAAAAAGAAGACAATCACCGAGATAAGTTTAGTGAGTAAATTACTTATTTGTAAAAAATTGCCTTATCCTATATCATCTGTGCGAGCAACTAAGAAAACTGTGTACTTAACCTTAGATTTCAATCTGATAAAATAAATGAAAAGCGAGCAGTTTTCTAAATATAATATATCGACAAATCGACACCACTTGGACAACGTATTTATTTTTATATAGCCGGAGAAAAATATTTTCAACTATTTTTAACTCAATTGGGCTGATGACGACAGGTAAGGGGTACTTTATTTCATTGGCCTTCAGAAAAATAATTTTTGCTTTTTTTTTTTTTTTTATTTGTCAACATTTCATCCTGTCCGGTTATTAGTATATATATTTGGAAACAAACGCACACACACACACACGCAAATCTTCCCCGCCATCTTACACACTTCTTCATCGCAAACACATGCCTATCGTTTCCCCTGCATGCGTAACGATTGCCCTTTCCCCTCCCCTTCAAATAACAAAACATATTCTTCCTGCCTGGTAAACAATTCAAAATCCAAGTAAATTTTCCGTGAAAAAGGGATTTTTCGTAAGCATATACAAACACTAAAAAAAAACGTTCTTCGATCAATCCTTTCTTTATTATTTACATCCAAATGAACAAACGAAAAATTATTCTTGGAAGGACATAAATTATTTATTATGCTGACAACAATTAAACACGAACGTGCATACAAATGCATAAACAAATTTCCGGAACGAAAGTGATAAGCACTTCGGTTAAGGCGAATATTTCCTCATATTCTATTTCTATATTCTAATGAACAAACGACAAAAGCGTGCCTTCAAGGATAAGCATTATTTCTGAGGCTGATAACTACTAAACGCAAATGTGCATAGAAATGCGTAGGCAAATTTCCAGGAAAGAAAAAAAGATATAATGCCCTCTATTTCATCGCATTGCTTGCCAAAACACTTAAACGTTCAATGATCCTTTTCACATTTGTATTCTTCTTAATAGTATTTGGATTCGTATAAATACCCCACTGAAAGTGAAAAAATAATTCGTGTTATAGACAAAAAGTCAAAATTGTGTTTTATTTATTGCTTTATGACCGTACTTGTCGAGGAAAAGTGGGCAACAAACGGCAGAAGGAAGATTACAGATAACGAACGCTTGAATGTTCGCCAACATTTCTATCCTATATAAGCAGGGTTTTCTCTTATCTTATTCTAGAAATAATTAAACCATCATGTCGACCAGTTTGTTAAAATTATATATCACATATTAAAAACATAAAAAATGTATATGTGTTTTTTTTAGAACGAAACAGATCACAATTTACTGGACGATTGCTGTCCAAAGCTTGCGAGAATCTGTCAGCTGGATTCAGATCAAGGTAATTTATTAAACAAGGAAACAAGTGGTGAGCGTGTGACACACAGTAATTTTTCTCATTTTTTTCATACGTATTTGTCTGAAGAGTTCGTAGCAGTCGTAGCACTCGTAGCAGTGTGGAACAACATCCTACTGCCTCCAGTATGAACGACGGACCGTCTACAAGTAATGCCCGTAAATCTAAAGGATTTTTTTGAAAATAGTACCAACGCGAAAGTTTCTGGCTGTGAGTTATGTTGCGCCTCGTGACAAGTATTTATGATGAAAACAAAATGCAAAACCCATTTGAAGACCAATAAGAAAATGAATTTATCATAAATGTGCTTCAATTCAAAATTGTTAGCAACTTGAGCGATGAGATATCAATCGATGAATTTTTACACGATATTCGAACACTTATACACGAGCAAATTTAAACCAAATTAGATGAATTCAACTGTGTAAAATTTAGTTTGGCGGTTTTTGGTGACTACGTGAAGTGAGTGGAAACAGAAATAATGATTTTTCAGCGAAGTTCGTTGCTGCAACGAAAGAAACCAACAAAGCCAAATACAAGGTTGACAAGCTTAAGAAATCAGCTGAAGAATAGCAGGAACAAGATTGCGATTGGGCTTTAGGACAATTCAAATTTTTCTAATTAACTAACTGCCATTTGAGGTCCATTCCTGTTATATGCACTTTTGCCAGTTGGTGTATATACTAAAAAGGATGCAATTAATGTGAAAAATATTGATGTGTTATTGTTATAAATGGTGCGTATTAGCGGCTATCGTTTATAACTTTTATAAACCGACTGTAGAGGAATTACGCAGACTACCTCACACGAAATGGACGTACCTCACACGAACTGGAAGTATTTGTGAGATCGTCTTTGAGCTTGAGAAATATTCAAATTGATTCCTCTGGCTTAAAATTCCCGATGACCAAATGCGACATCAATCGATTTGAGCAGAATAATAAAGAAATTGGCATAAATATTTATGTATAGACATGTTCCAAAAGTACATGAAAACTGGTTGGTGCAGTGAGCGCGACAAAAGCACCAAAAAGTATTCTGTAAAAACGCAATACACGCGAAGACATACCGCAGGACAGTTTTGCGATTTGTGTCAAACATGTTATGCCGCGGGTGGAACACACCATAAGGAAGTATGCAGTAATATCAAATATTGCTACTGCGTGATGTTTGCAAAAGGCGTTACATGGACGGACACATGGACAGGCTTAAATCGATTTAAAATCTGATGCTGATCAAGAATGTATGGGCTTTGTGCGGTCTCTGATGCATCCTACTGGGCGTTGCAAACGTTTTGAGAAAATGAATATACTCCTCATCCTTCGGTGATGGGTATAAAATATAATATGTTAAGGCATCAGTTATGTAAAGTAAATAAACAACGCGTTTTGTACGATAATTTATCCAAAATATGAAAAATTTGCATAAAACATGTTACTGTATGTGTATGCAAGTATAATATATATATGTAGAATTGTTCGATATGAAGTAAACGATGAAACAAAAACAAGTTATATTTGTTCATTAATTTTTGATTTCTTTTGTACATATTGCGAATGTTCAGTTAAAAGAAATCTATACCTCTTTGTTTTATATACGTCCGATATAGGTAGACGTGAAGAAACTTTCTATGCCTGTATAAATAATGAGAAAGAAATAAAGCAGCAAAGCAGCAAACAATTAAATTTCTGTCAATTAATAACCGATACTGTTGGTGTTAATAATAAAGACATCAACGGTCTTTCTTTACAGACTGTACAAGGGACAGCGTTTAAGTCCCAAGTACGGTTTCCTTCATCGGGATGTTGTAAAATTAGGAAAGAATCGTTATCGTATCAACTAAGGATGAACCAACGCAGAACATTAATATACCATTTGCAGATGTTTAATATAAAATTTAAAAGAAGTGGAAAATATGGAAAAACTTCATTGACTCAGCTCCCTTATGTCTCTTGAGTGCTTACGAATTTCTATTGGGTAAACTTTTCATATGTGTTTGATTAATTCCTGTTTCAATTCTGCTTCTTCTTGTTTTGGATTTCTACTTTTTTTTAATGCAATGTTAAGCCTCTTCAGACGAGGCCGCTAGGATTCACCAGCTATATGTCCAGCTTATATTATCATATATATATATAGATTTTGATGCGAAGTGATTTTACCAAAGGTTTTCTTTGATTTGCTAATGTTTGTTAAGAATGTTTAAAATAACTTTGGAGGTGTTGTATGAGTGAAATTCCATAGGTTGGAGTAGTAAAATATTGTCCAAAACATTGCTGAGATTTCTTCTTCGTAGTAAAAGATGCAGCTGCATGCTATTTTAAGCCTTAGAGAAACAATATTGTGTGTAGAAGTGAAGACACTATGACATTGGCTTTAGAAAAGATTAAATTTCCTGTCATATTAACATAATTTATTCTTGAGCTTTTAGCTCTACAGCTGAGCTTGCTTAGCTCAACTAAAAAATTTATCCAAAAATTTGTTTTTTTTTTTTTTCGTATAATTTATTCAAACGTTACATAGCTAACCATTTAACTTTCAGCTTTTGTATGTACATCTTTGAAATTTTTAAAATTCCATTGCATTTCATTCCAATTTTCCTTTTTGCTCTTCTTTTTTTTTCATTTGTAGTAGTAATTTCCAGCCCCTCAAGATATAATAAGTACTGCTTTTCATTTAAAATTGTATTAGAGAACAAAGACAGTGAGTGATATGCATTTAAGAGCATATATCTATTAGATGTGCATAAACAGTCTTAATCGCCGAAATTAAACTCTTACTTATTCTAATCATCGCACTCTTGTAGAACCGGATGTAAGACAATAGATGCTCCGTTGCAACCAGTGCGCTCAGATATGAAATCATGAAAATTGCTTTCCAAAGCCCACATAAAATGTTTATGGCCCGGCAATATCTAGAGAAAAACAAGGTACCGCAAAAAGGATTAAAAAAAGAACAACAAGTCAAACGATATATCGACATATCGGAGACAAGAATAACGCCATAAAACTTAATCAGTTTTGAATACAAAGATCTCTTAGGCGCTGTATAAGCGTTAATTTTTATAGCGTTACGTAAATTTCTTCTTTGCGCATGTGTCATTTCACGCACCTGCGTAGTGAGGCGACAATCTTCGCCGCGTTGTATCTCTTGTAAGTTACTGATCTTAAAGCAAGTTTTAGTGTTCCATAAGTAAATGTCATTTTCGCCTTTATAACGAAAGAATAATGCATTACCACCATCAGCACCTAACAGAACCATTTGTTTTCCATATGGTTTTGTACCAACACTAACGATGGAACCGTCTCCACCTTTGCCCATACGCAGATATTCTGTTTTTATCGAATAGAGATTCGCTGAGGTGAGGTATGTGAAATATAAGGTAGAGTTGCCAGTGCCAGGCGATGTTAAGACCATATAAAGGACGTCAGTGATGGGGGATGTTGCTTTAGGTAAAACGATCCGATATGATTTAGAAGCAGCAATATCGTAAACTAAAATGCTATGCGCGCCAGCATCAGCGATATAACTAAAAAGAATTAAATAATTAATAAAGAGAAAATTTCTGATATATTATTGATCGGATAAATATAATCAGATAAAAAAATGAATGTTTGAATCAATATTTTCCGAGATGAGACATACGAAGAACGGGAAAGCTTGCATTGCCGAAGTATATCGCGTTCTTAATGTTGATGAACGAAAACATAGGAAAAGAAGATCGTGATATGCGACACTTTGACCTTGAAACTGATATTTGCTCTGATCGGCCGATCAACATCAAAATCGCTCGAATCATACTTCTATTCGACGGGATATTCTTGATGTAAACGACGAGAAGGTTTTCAACCAATCACCTGTTTGGAGTTATGTAGGGATAAATAAATATTCGGTAATAAATAAATTTAATTTTCATTATATGTATTTCAGGTCATCCAATGGTCGAGTAGGCAAAGGATCTTGATTGACAAGTCAATGGTCGTGAGTGCATGTCTCAAAAGCGGTAGACATTTGAATTAAGCCGCTAGCCTTAGATGCTAATGCTTTAAGGCTTTACTCTTAGAATGTATTTTTAACAATTTGTGTGCCCTTTGCCTGTCCTATTTCGCTTAAAATATTTTCTCATTATGTCAAATTAATTAATTTATTTGCTTAAGTTTTCTGTGTTCAATATAATAATTAAAGAAGCAGAAGTCGCTTACAACTTTATCAATTTCAGAAAGTTTTCGCAGAACGGCAACGTTTTCCCCATCGAAGGATCTTCGTAAGCTTTAAAGTATGCAAAAGTATTAAAATATTGCTAAGCCCGAAAGTATGTAATTGAAATTTTTTAAATCGAGAAAAGATCGCTTTTTTTGCCTTTGGGCAATTACGATGTGTTTAGTATTTCAAAACCAAATTATATAAATTGCTCTTCAGCATTTCAAATAGATAGATGAACTGAAACTTTATTCAAATGCTTATTATTTTTAGCGTATTTTAAGATCCTTTGCTCTTGTGGGCGTTTCCTTATTCTATCTCCGAAGTGATTTTAACTTTTCCAAGGACACGCCTACGCGAGAAAAACTTTTATTTTGAAATTCGAAAAAACCAGCCATGCCCACTCTACACTGCTTACAGAGCATGAACATTTATTTCTTTTAATTTTTTTTTTTTTTTTTTTTTTTTTTTTAGAATAACGGCAATGGCTGTAAAAGGTTCGGTCACGACCGAATATAATTTTCTGTTTTTTTTGTTTTTTTTTTTTTGCACGTCGCACGTCTTTATAGACGGTATAGAAAGGCTTGATACGGCCATTTTTACGAAAGGTGCGCCTGTGTATAAATATTTATTGGGAAAAACAGCCTAAAGGGTACATGCCCTGGCATAAGCATTTTATGTTTAGATATATGCTAATTGAGAATGTTTTTACATTGAAATTTTAGATATCCTTACCAAATATTTGCATGGAATTTCGAGAAATTTTCAATATTTTGATCTCTACATTAACGTTGACAATCACTTTCGCCTCTCACACTAACCATATATTCAGTATGATGACGATGTTGTTGCTTGTTTTTTTTTTGACATAATTACATGCTTTTCTAAAATATGAATGCACTTTTTGATCTTTTGATTTTTACATTACATAGTGATGTGAGTTGCGTATACAATTTGAAGCTTAAGAACTTACACGAAAGGTTTGCCGTTTGATCCATAATCGACGACCAGAAATTGTAAGCGTGAAGCAGTTGTCAATAAATTGTTTATATCAATACTCTTGACCACTTTACCGTCCAGCGTGTTAATGGCTACAATTTTTGGCTTACAACGACGTATCGGTTGTTCTAAGGTATTAACAATACCGACATCTAAAATCCAGAGAAAACCCTAATAACACCAAGAAAATGAAGAAAAATGAAAAAAAATTGTGTTTTTCACCAATGGCCAATCAGTGAGCTTGGACTTGATTCTATAAAGAATAAAAATGTGTGAGTGGGTTGATGTTTGCCTCGTCATCATAATCAATACGGAATTGAAAAGTGGGGTAAATAGATAAGGAAGTAAGGAAATGGATCAGTGTTTGGGTCGGATAAATAAAATGAAATATATATAATAAATAATAATATATAATAATAAATAATAATAATAATAATATATATATATATATAATTTTGCAGTGATTACACGTGTTCTTATTGAAAATAAAAGATTGTACTTACATAATGATCTAGCTTTATATCGACAACCGATTGTAAGGCCTGACAGTTACCCTCTTCTTGTATAGCCCAGCAAGGGTACGGTGCTATTTTCGTTATGCATTGTCCTTTTGTCAATTGAATTTTGCCTAAAGTGAAGGGTACGCCGTGTTTGTAACGCGGCAAAGCCACATACATTATATCGCGTTGCAATTGTGCTCGTGTGATTATCACATTACGTGGTACATAACGACCCGACTGTATATAAATATGTTTTGTCGATTCGCATGGCCACAAAAGGCTGCTGCCGCTTAATTCAAATACCAATTCTTTTAAAAAACTTTTACTCGATCTCTCCAACACAGTGGACTCTTCGCTGATGGATGTACTGACCATTGTTTCACTAATTTTTGTGATTAATAGCAAAACATAAGCTATGCGTAAATTGCTTAACATTTTTATTAAGATGTAAGATTAATGAATAACAAAAAAGAAATGAAACCAATCGTCTATACTGAATAAACTTTTATATTAAGAATTGCGGAACTTATTTTGCTTAGCGGCTTATCACGTTCCTTATAAACGTTTACACATTTACGATTACAGGTCCAAGAAATGCAAGTAATTGGCTGTGGCCGAACCTTCAAAAGCGACAAACATTCGAAATTTGAATGAGTAATGAGCAAAAAAAAAACTTTTAAAAACAGGGATGGTCCCAGTTTACGTTGTACTGTAGGCGAGTTCTTTAGTCGATTTGATTCATTCTTAACAATGATTCTCTGCCAATTTAAACCGCTTACCTTAATATTTGTGATCCAAAGTTTGGATACTGTAAAGGACATACGTAGATGGGCGGATAAGCTCCCAGTTATCCCCTGAATCATATGCATGCCTCATAGGCATGCCAGTGAAGTTTTGTTTTTAACGATTTCAGAAAATGAATATACCCCCAACTTTTGTAGAGTGACCCTGCAAGTAGAAAAAAATATAAAAAAAAAAAAAAAATATATCGTGATATATATCATTTGTGTTAGATTAAAAATGATGATAAATTACGAAATAATGCTACGTTGGAATATGCGAAAAATTCAAAGATGACATTGAAAGCGAACTGCAGAAGAATGGTAAAATGTTACGATTGCATAAGAAGATGGAGAGCAACAATTAAAATAATACAGTAAAGGTTATTTTAATTCATCAATTCATTCAGTTTAATTTTGATTGAGGAGTTAACGTTGATTAAATTTGGTTCTTTCCTCGCGTTGCGTCTATCTGAGACCGTAAAATATCTCCTCATTTCTATTTATAATCAGAGTTGGGTGTTGAAGTCATTTGCACATGGCTGTTAAACCCACCGTCTGTCTATCCGCAAGGTCATCGGTCTACATTCATTCGGGACTTTGTTCCTTCGCTCATTTGCTTGTTTGGCGACAAGTTGTATGTCTGTTCATTTAATTCGCTCGATTATGTATCAAATTTTTTGCCATTGACTGGCAAGATTTGCTTTAATTACCCCGATTGGGCTCCAATCTGATGGTGGTTTGCTTTAAAGCACACCTGCTGGACTAAAAGAATTTGAAGAAAACACGTAAAGCATTCCTTGCGAACCAAATATATAATCCTGAATTACAATTCAGGATTGATCCGTTTCCATTGAATACCAAATTTAAACAAAACAATGCGTTTTTCATATATTCGTTTGAGGTGTAATGTGGGAGCAATTGTGGAACGCATGTGAACGAATTCCTATGTGATCAAGCATATCGGTGTTCTTTCGCAAACTTTTACCCGTGCTACGCAATAGTTTAATTCGAAATTTGGAAATCAAAAAAAAAAAATTGATTTCGCTATCAATTAATTTTCGAAAATTTAAAGGCTAATTATGGACAGCTGGACTCAAGCGCAATCAAATCTATAGCTTTAAACGCTTTCCCCTTAGATGTAAAAAAAAAAAAAAAAAAAAAAAAAACCAGCACTAAAAATAAGGTACGAAGAGTATGAATCGATTTTATTGCGTCTGCCTTATTGTCGACAGACAGGAAAGAAAAATGAAATTTGATTATTTTATAAGGACTTGAGACAGATCCACTTTCTATTATAGATTGCCTGTTCGCCTGTTCGCCTGTTTGCCTGTCCGTCCATCTGTCCATTTGTGTTCTTACATTCATTTTGCAAGCAGCAATTTTCAAGATATTTTGATGACTCGTACCAAAGACGAACGCCGTTGATAATAATCGGAATCGGTCCAATTTTCGTAACTATACTAAGCGAATTAGCATAGGGTGTTTAATGATGGGCCGTGGCTCACTATAATATTTTTTTACTTGGTTCTCTTCATCTCTCTGTATATAGTCTTAAGGAAGACTACGCCTAAATCTCCTTACGTACGCTCTTTACTTTAAAGAAAACGAACAACAACAAATTGTTGAAAAAAAAAATTGAAAATTTCAAAGAATTTCTGAAAAATATAA